TAGTTAGTAAGAGTCTGACACTCCTTCCCGCCTCACCCAGGCGGAAGAAGTCATTCGATGATTTTCCCCCTTAAAAAAATATGTATATTATATTATATAGTGTATATTGTGATAGTGAGATATTTCTATATTTAGAACAGGGGTAGATTATGTTCTGGAGTAAATGCATAGGCTACTTTTTACCCCTGGGGACGCAGGCGGAGCCGCTGGCAGAAGCTAGTAATTTAATATATAGTAACTCAAGTTATTAGGTGGTAACTTAACAATTTAAAGTATTTATTACACTATTTCAGATTTCATAACTAACACCATGTTACAACAATTAGGTACACATGGCTACACATCGAGCCTTACATAACCAGTATAAACTGAACGTTAAATGTGTGGTAAGATGATGCGACGCGACACCAGGATAAACTGGTTTTGTATAGGTTGATGTGTGGCTGTGTGTACAAGTTCACTAAGCGTGATGCTGTCAAGGTTAGTAATGTCATAACAAAAAGGACACTTTTCCTTATCCCGATGGCAAACTGAGGACCGTACTTGAAGTGTACTCAAGTTTACTCAACTGCTCATTCAGTGATGTTCCTCGGGTCGTGCTTATTCATGTGAACAACTGTTAGGTAAATACACTCTCATCTTAAGAATTTCTTTAGAAAATGAACATTGTAAGCTATGAAGGCTTGTAAAAATGGCAGGATTGGTCAAGGATGTTGAAAAAAGGTGGACACAGTCTCTTGAAACAACTACTACGGTACTTGGTTACTATAGACTTACACGCACAACATACACACATTGACATGAAGGACATCTGTCATTTTCTTAAGTCTGGTAACGTTAACCCATTACACACATCACACATCAACAACCTATAAATGCCCATTGCTGAGCACAGCCTCTCCTCACATGAAGAAGGTTTGAGCATTAATCACCACGCTTGCTCAATGCGGGTTGGCGATTTCAAACTTATAATTAGAAATTATAAGCCCAGATTTCCTCACGATTTTGTCCTTCATCGTTTGTCAGTGGTGTCTAAATAATCTTAGAAAGTACATATTATAATTCGGAAAAGTCACATTGGTACTTGCCGTTGTTAGGTGTGGAACCCGCACTCTCATGGATGAAAAGCGGGCGTCTTAAAACTCCTGGCCACCACGACATTACCGGGCCACCACGATAATATACACGCACACATGAACAACCCACTGACATTTTGGTGCTTCAATTACTTCTAGATGACATTATGTCTGCCTATTCTCAACATCCTTGGGATTAATATTGAGTATATTTAAAAACGTAGGTAATTTGTTAGGTTGTCTATCTTTCATATTTAGAAAATAAAGTCTGTAAAAGTTTGTGCTTTAGTTAGCAAACACTAGAAAACTAACATTATAAAATTTTCTTGTAAAAATCTCGAGTTCTAAAGAAAATTACAGTATGTCAGCAACTGATTAGATGAACGAATCTATAAATGACCATTTTTTATATATAGGTACACAAAGCACCGCTAATTAGTTCGTAACGCTCACATCGACACTACTGTCATTTACACAATGTACATGTGTGGGTAATTTCATATTACTGTGTATAAAAATATTCGTCCACCACGTTCACATTGGTATTTTCATTCTTGTGTCGGTATACGTATTTTTATAATTTAATGCATGGGTAAGGTTAAAACTATTTACAATCATTGATATGACCCGACATTTTCACTGTAATTATCGTAGTGCTCGTGGTCGATTGGTTAATGAGTACGCTTTTATCGTCTTTCAAGGATCAATGATGATGTGGGTTCTATTCCAGCTAAAAGTTTTTTTTTATTTTACCTTGTTGTTTTTCTTATTTATTTTTTTTTTGTTTTTTGTCATATAATATAAATATCAGGCTATAAAAGAAGCAAATCAGTCGGTAAATAAAACAATACTATTTTTTATTAAAATTAATTTATTAATTATACAAATATGTGGTTTTATATTCAATATTTATATCTAATAATTAATTATATACCACATGTTAACTTTAAAGTTCTTCCAATCATTCTAAATTATTCTAAATAATAAATAACTAGAACTAAAATATAAATAAAGGATATTATAGGTATAAATAAATCTAAAGTATTTACTATTAAAATTAACATAAGATTTAGAAAAATAGGATAGGAAAAAAAGAAAAGATTTAATTGTTTCTAATTTCACATTTCAAATATTTGATTAATTAATACTAAAACAACATGTGAATGCTGGAATCGATCCGGTGGCACTTTACTTGACCACTGGAGGCGATAACCATTGCGCCAAGCGCGCCGTAGATGAGAACATCGAAATATTGTATATCATTCAGTAACATAAAAATACAATGAGAATGCACTATATTTATATAAGTATTGTATTGCTCGATCGTTCATTATTTTTGATTTCGATTTATTCAAAGTTTGTTATGAGTATTTTTATCTTTACCCTCGTTTTTATTTAAACTTATTTACTAAAATATTACGTATACCGACACAAAAATGATATGTAATACCAAGATGTGTGTGATAGAACGAATGTTTCTATACATATCTATTAATATGAAATTACCCACACATGTTCACTGTGTAAATGATAGTAATGTCGATGTGTAGCGCCTCGAACTAATTAGCGGTGCTTTGTGTACATGCATAGGTAAAAATGGTAAAATGAGTCTGCGTTTGCCCATAAAATATTTTTTTAAGAGTAATTCTTATCTTTATTTAACCTTTCGAGCGCCAATGTCACACATACATAAGTGACAAGCGAAAACTGTCCCTTATTTTTTTTTTGCCCCACACTAGGATTATCTCCTGTGTCGTGGGTGCGTTTACAAATATACAAGTTCACATACAAATGACACCTAGGCCAGAAACAACAATTTGTGGATCACACAAAGTGTTGTTCCGTGCGGGAATCGAACCCGCGACACGTTGCACGGCAGCCGGTTGCCCAGCCACTGCACCAACCGTGCAGTCATCAACCCTGGACGCCAACGACAGAAATACATGACAGAAAAAGTGGAAACACGAAATCAACAATTTAATTCCCTATTGGAATCCCTATTTCTTTCGTAGAAATTTGCGCGGAATGGCGGCGTGTGTTTTTGCTCTTGCTTTTAAAAGAAAGTTCCGATTAAAGTAACTATTAAGTAAGTATTAAAGTGTTAAAAAAACTGAAGCAAAACCCACCATCCAACATCTTTTAATATGTCCATTCCAAAACGAAAGATAAATTAAGATAATCCCCATCTGACCTACAAAGCCACATTACGATTCTAAGAACGCAAAACCTCGAACCACGTTCAGCTAAATTTTATGAGAAAGATCGCATTAAGAAGACTATTACACGGATGAGAATAAGCTATTTTTATACAAAAAATGGTAATTATTACCATCGTTTCAAACGAGGCTAGAATATTAAATAACTTCTGTAGTCCAAGAACTGAGTCCACTGGCTTAATAATGTAGCTTGGTGATGTAATCATAGGCTTGTGGCTATTGATTTCAGTTAGTGGTCTGTTGGTGAAGATTCTGTGTATTCCTTTTGTATTTTTAATGCGAGAGATAAGGTCTAAATTGAGGCTTATCTAGGCGTAAAAGATAATGTTTAGCATTTTATTTACAACTAGCTACTTCCGCGCGGTTTCACTCGCTCTGCTCGGCGCCTATTAATCGTAGCGTAATATTTTATAGTCTATAGCCTTCCTCGATAAATGGGCTATCCAACACAGTAAAAATTTTTCAAATCGGACCAGTAGTTTCGGAGATTAGCGTGGTCAAACAAACAAACTCTTCAGCTTTATAATATTAATATTTTTTTTTAAGAGGGGATAATCATCGAATGACTGCTCCCGCCTGGGTGAGGCGGGAGGGAGTGTCAGACTCTTACTGACTAAAAACCACCGTTCCTTCTCCTGCACGTCGAGCCTTCCTGCACGTCGAGCATAATATTAGTATAGATTTGCAATAATAAGTTTTAGCTCTCACAATGGTTTTAGTCAACGATGTTTCATTCACATTTTAGACAAAAACCTCTAACGCTTCATGTTATCATGTCTGCTTTAGCGAAATCGCTACACGTTTTATCTAAGCCACACTACTAAAAAGTCCAATTATCTTCTCAGCTTTTTCTTTTCAGTTTATGAATACTGGTGTTATAAAGCTAGCTATAAACACCAGGCTTTTGTAAGGTCTATCGATAGTTCACCGCCGCCGGTAACGAGTTGATATCCAGTTAGTTGTTTACCTTTTAAAGTTAAGTGAGTGCCGTCGACGGAATAATTGGAAAGTTAACGAACAAGCAACTCAGAAGTTATTCGCCTCGTGTTTAGTTTCAACGTGTTGTTTATGTAGGAGGAGTTTGAGTTTTTTTTTAAAGAGTAACGCATGCAGTTTCTTACTCGTTCTTCTCCATTCGAATCTACATTTTGGAACGAGCACCTAGCTTCATTGATGGATAGACTGACAGACCATAATTTATTTTGTATTTGTTGACATTGTACAAAAGTATCAAATTATGGTTTAATTGAAATAAATGCTTTGACTGTGTTTATACGAATTTGAAATATATAAAGAGAGTAGTTTTTGATTAAATTCATTTGACGATGTGGTGTGTTTTATCAGACACTAAACTTCTGTCTTGCTGTAACAGATAATAATGATAATGATGACAAAAGCACGAGTGCACGACATATTATATCATATCTGATTTTTAAAACTAATCGTTCCTGTAAATTGAATTGAAATTGTTGAAATAAGAGTGAGCTGTTTATAGTTTTATCTGTGTGTATAGTTTATGGTTACCTGTAGATATTCGTTCGATTACTCTGTCTGTAGTAAGGTTGATGATTATAATTTCTACAAAACACACTGTATCGTATCACATATATTTTTTATAACTAATACCGACTCACCCTTTCAACAGGTGGTCTACAGAAAAGTCTTTATTTAACAATTACATAAACCTGTTTTATATTCTTGTCCACAGAACCTCCCTCCCAGTGGCTCAGTTCAGCCGCGGCGACTTCTCCCTCTGGTCTGTGCTGAAGAACTGCGTCGGCAAGGAGCTGTCCAAGATCACCATGCCGGTGGTGTTCAACGAGCCACTGTCCTTCCTCCAGCGTATGCTGGAGTACCTAGAGTATGCCCATCTGTTGCGCATGGCGTCCGAGCAAACCGACCCCGTGGCTCGGATGGAGTATATTGCTGGTAAGACTATTAGAAGATATTATGTAGTAGGTACCTATGTGCGTTGTATGTGTGTGCGTGTTTGTGTGATGAGCGTATGTTCTATACAAAATGTTATCTCTGATAGTCAAATCTGTTTTAAGTGTCGGATATTAAAACAAACGGTTACTTATGATCTGTTAGGATAGCGCTCCGGGAGTCCCCTTTTGGAAAAGACTAGGGGACCAAAAGTGCTGCTTATCACTACGTAGTATAAAAGAATATCGCTATCCGCCGTCTGTCTGTCCCTATGTATGCTTAGATCTTTAAAACTACGCAACAGATTTTGATGCGGTTTTTTTTAATAAATAGAGTGATTCTTAAGGAAGGTTTATGTGTATAATACATGCATATTGCACCCGTGCGAAACCAGGGCGGGTCGCTAGTAGTTTTTTTAATTTAGACCTCACAACTTTTGACTTACAATAATTAGGTACTGTTTTATACAAGGTGTAGTTTTGAAACCGTGGCATTTCTCGGAGGCATGTCACAGATGTCTTAAAGGTTCAATGTAAGAGAAAGTTTCGGGCGGATATTCAAAAATATGGCTATAATAAATCGTTTAAGTTCGACAGTATTTCAGAATAAGTGACAGCCATGTTTCTTATTGGAATTTTATGGAATTAGGAATAATATTAATTACGTGTTTGAGTTTGTGTGTGTTGAGCCCCGAAATAAAGCTAGTTACAAGACGGCGGCGTGTAGTTCGCACTTACGGATTTCCGTAATTTACAGAAAAATCAAAAATATTTACCTACAATTTTTTAATGATTTAGAGGTAGACTCAGAATCGATAGCCGGGTTACCTCCTAGAAAATGACGCGGCTTTATAACAACACCTTGTATAGAACGGTGTTAGTAGTTGAACAACTTTTTCGGAAGTAACTCTACACAGTAACTAATATGTATATTTTATCCTACATGGCCAGTGGTGGGGGGTTATCCCTTAGTCGGCGTCGCGGAGAACCTAACGGGTAACCGGGGCTCCGACTCGACGTGCAGGAGAAGGAACGGGGTGGTTTTTAGTCAGTAAGAGTCTGACACTCCCTCCCGCCTCACCCAGGCGGGAGCAGTCATTTGATGATTTTCCCCCCTTAAAAAAAAATCCCTTAGTCGGCAAATATGCTTGCCCGTATAAGTGCTACAAGATGTAGGGATTGCTTAAATTGCAATTTACATGCATAGGGCGTTGTTCATAACAATGTAAGGATTGCTTAGATGACGATTTACAAGTAGGCCTTATTCATTCAGATCGGAACCAATCAGCTACTATGATCGTAAAATAATCGAGAAAGCGAAGTCAAAGTCAAAGCATTTATTTCAATAAAACCATAATTTGGTATTTTTAAACGTCAACAAATACAAAATAAATAATAGTATGTCAGTCAGTCCGTCAGTGAAGCTAGATAAAGCTAGGTGCTCATTCCAAAATGTAGATTCGAATGGAGGAGAATGAACAAGAAACTTCATTCGTTACTCTTTTTAAAAAAGTATATTCTACAATGTCTGATACATATTCCGATACTATACGCATATGTGAGAACAATGCAAAGATGCGCTTGACGCATTATACTAATTACAAAACTTACTAAAACTACTTAAAAAAAAAAAACAATAAAATCTTATAGTCTAACATGGTGCTCACATGATGAAAGCTGTTAGGGTCCCCTTCAATAAGATCTCCCGTAAAGTTTACTTCCACATCATATTAAACTCAAACAACTTTATCTAATAGCACTAAAACGCTATTAGCGTACCTAATTAGCATGCTAACAATCTGCACGAGCTCTACTAAGACGCCTCCATCTCCACCCATCTATATTGAAAGTAAATCAAGCCAACAAGTGGCCACTTATGCGGCTCTACGTAGAGAGCGCTCCAATGTATAGTCGGGATAAAAAAACAACCTGGATACGGGCAAAAATAGCGTTATGAGTACCAAGACCTCCTGAGAGAAAAACAGTGTTCTTATTTCAAACTTTTTTTTCATCTACCTACGAGCATTTTCTTATTATAGACTGCCTCGGTAGTCTAAGTCTCTCCTCGGTCGTAAGTGCGACTGCCAGTCTAGGGGTCTCGGATTCGATTCCCGGGTCGGACAAAGTATATAGGTACATATTTTTATAGGGACTCATAATATATGTATGTAAATAGTGAAAAGTGGGTGTTACATTGTACATTGGCATAATGTGCACCTCTGCCTACCCCTTCGGGAATAAAAGGCGTGATGTTATGTTATGTATTTTCTTATTGTTAGAGTGGTTGCTTGTTAATGTAAGTTTTTTGGAGATTAGTCTCGGAAAGGTTATGGATTAAAAGGACGGGAAAGAAGAGAAAGAAAGAGTTAAAAGGTTCTGTTTTAAAAATTCGTCGTTTTATCAAACAGCTTTGTGACTATTTTAATAATCGTAAAGAATATAGCAATAAAATTTTAATTAAAGATATATATATATTGTAATAGTATCTTAAATGTTTCAATGGGTATCTGTAATAAATTCGTACGTTAAATTCAACGCATGAGAAAAATGTCATAACTGGCACAACTATAAACTACCTCTAGGTATTTATTCAAGTTTTACAAGTATACTAGCTTCTGCCCGCGACTTCGTACGCGCAATCTCGAAAAAAATCTAGGGGTGGACTACCCCTAAAATTTAGGGGGATGAAAAATAGATGTTGGCCGAATCTCATAGATACCAGATAATCACAAAAAAATTCATCAAAATCAGTCAACCCGTTTCGGAGGAGTATGGCAACGAAAACTGTGACACGAGAATTTTATATATAACTAGCGACCCGCCCCGGCTTCGCACGGGTGCAATATGTATATACATACAAACCTTCCTTAAGAATCACTCTATCTATTAAAAAAAACCGCATCAAAATCCGTTGCGTAGTTTTAAAGATCATACATACGGACATACAGCGAAAGCGACTTTGTTTTATACTATGTATTGATTATATTATATTTTAGTTTTCAGTAATCATTTTCAGAGAAAAAAAGAACATTACCTCTACAATCAGTTTTATTTTACCAAAGTTATCGTATTTCAGCTCACATTCGATACCTCGCCTTTAATCACTACCCACGGGCATTATTCTAACGAAATACAATTTCTAACATTTGTCAAGAACGATTTATATGTACACGAGTATTTTGTTACAATAGTATACCCAAGTATACCAAGGTTTTCGAAGTAAAAGGCGCCTTGTTATATTTTATTGTTCTAGACTGAATAATTTCTACATCAACTTCTACCTTTATTCCTCTAGTTTGGCTACCTCCTTTGTAACAAGGCGTGGGGTAGAAAAGGCTGCAGTATCCTTACTAATATTATAAATTGGAAAGTGAGTTTGTTTGTTTGTTTGTTTGTTCCCCTTTCACGCCGTAACTACTAAACCGATTGCTTTGATATTTTGCAGACGTAAAGTTAAAAGTCTGGATTAAATAATAGGGTACTTTTTATCCCGGAAAAACATGTTATTCCTGAGGGAAAACTAAAGTATTGGTATAGATGGCGCTGTGTGTATTGGTATATGTCACATAGGCTACTTTTTGTCCTTTTGTGACGCGAGCGAAGCCGCTGGTAAAAAAGTTAGTATATCATAATTCAATGTTGCACTGCTACATTTAAAGTATTTAAAGTATACGATGCCAGGTTGTCAGAAACCGTAGTATTAAGTATATAAAATAAGTGTAGGAAAACCATGCTTCGGCACGAATGGGCCGGCTCGACCGGAGTGATACCACGGCCTCACAGAACATCGACGTGAAACAACGCTTGCGTTGTGTTTCGTCATGTGAGTGATGTTATCAGAGGCTCACTTACCTCTATCTCCCCAGTCCCTGAACAAAAACAATCCTCAAATACCTAATCCCCAAAAAGCCGGTAACGCACTTGTAACGTCTCTGGTGTTCCAGGTGTCGGGTTCGTGAGGTTTAAAAAACACTGTTTTTATAATCTGTTCACTAATAATATAATAAACAATGCTTAGAGACTCCTTTGGGAAAGAAAAGCCCGTGTCGTTGTGTTCAGTCAAATTATAATTTTCAATGGAACTTCTTGAACCACACACAATACTCAAGATAAACAAGATTATATAGAGACCTTGTCTATAAAGACGTATGAAATGGAATTACGTCGGCTTTTCTATATACATCATATTAGTGGGCACATTTGTGATGGTTTTTTGTCCCTCGCTTGTTGATTCGATCTATTATGAGATTAGCTTGACGATGTTTCCTTTTGCCAAATATGTTTGGAACGATAAATATTGGAATTATTCGTGTATATTCGGTTATATTTTGATGATAGATGATTAGTGGTTGGTGTAATTGTATCATGAATTAAGGTTCTTTTGTGGATTAAGTGGTAGCAAAATAAAATGAAAGTTACGTAGATATATAGGTATAATTGGTTACTTTTATTTTCAAATACATTATATCAGTTTGAATCCGTCTTATACTCAGAAGTTATCTAACCACAGAAATATTAGAAACTTCTTTTACCTATACATCTATACAGATAAATAAAATTGGATATGTCTACATTTGTAATATTAAAATAACAGCTTTTTACTACATGAATATACATACGATATATGTATATACCAAAATAACACATTTTACAATTTTTGTCTGATTTCTGTTTGTACTGGCTAATCTCTAAAATGGGTGGACGGATTTTGATAGGACTTTTATTAGCAGGTAGCTAAAATGTACTAAGGAGTAACATACGCTTATTTTATTTTAGCAAAACGCAGACAAAGTTGCGGATTCAGCTAGATAACAAGCTAGATTATAAAATCTAGGTCCCTAACCAACCTTAATAAGTCTACAACATAAATTGGATCATGTCCAAGGAATTAATCTCTAATCTAATTTGACGTGAAGTTTCTTAATTTTGCAAATTGAAGAGTGGAATATAATTTCATTATAAGTATTTGTATTACAGCGTTCGCAGTGAGTGCGTTGGCGTCCAACTGGGAACGTCTGGGCAAGCCGTTCAACCCACTCCTGGGCGAGACGTATGAACTTGAACGTCCGGAGTTCAGGGCGGTTTGTGAACAGGTACTTACTTATTAGCATTTTAGATTTCAGGAGGTGCTTTATTGTAGTTTGTGGACCAGCTTTAGCCAGAGTCAGAAATCGTTTTTGAGATATATTTTTTCTTTTTTCATTTATTAAGAAGTTCTGTTTAGGATAGTCTCTCACATCGCCCAGTGCTGGTGCCGCTATATAGGTGCTACACGAGCCACAACGACTACAACAATAGTCGTGGTGGCCCGGAGGTTTAAGACGCTTCTCATGCGTGAGGGTGCGGGTTTTAAACCTACCAGCAGCAAGTACCAATGTGACATTTTCCGAGTTATATGTAGAGGTACTTTCTAAGATTATTTAGACACCACTGACAAACGGTGAAGGAAAATATCGTGGGGAAACGAGGGCTTATAATTTGTAATTATAAGTTTGTAATCGCCAACCTGCATTAAGCAAGCATGGCGATTAATGCTCAAATCATCTCAGTGAGAGAAGAGTCCTTTGGTCAGCACTCGCCACTTATAGGCTGTTGATGGTGATAGGTAGGTACCTAGGTACTATAATTTTATCCAGCGTCGTGTTTAATCAATCGTATGTCCAAGTTTTGAAAGTATTTAATCGATTTATTATGTGATTGCAATTGATCTACTCTACGGAGAACCAGAAATAATCATCAGTATCACATTTTTTTATTATCGATATCATAATCACATTGCAAAAAGTTAAATTATACCATTATAGTAAGTACCATTGTAAGACAAAATAGTTCTAAAATTACATAAAAATATTTCTTCTCCTAGGTATCCCACCACCCTCCCGTGTCTGCATTCCACGCGGACAGCCCGCACTTCGTGTTCCATGGCTCCGTGCACCCCAAGCTGAAGTTCTGCGGCAAGAGCGTCGAGATACAGCCCAAGGGACACGTCACTGTTGAGTTACCTAGGTAAGACATTAATTATTAGTTATATAAGAAGAAGATAATTATTGACATAGGAAGGTCTATCTTAGGCCGACATCGAAATGAAATGTTTGTAAATTAAAGCACTATTGCTGACATAATAAAGGACAAACAATATTTTGAAGTTAACGGATATGGATTTTTACGGTAAACGAGTAGACGGATCACCTGATGGTAAGCAATTGACGTCGTCCATGGACTTGAAACACCAGAGGCGTTACATACACGGAATTGGGAATTTGAGGATTGTGAGGGATTCGGAGATTGGGCCTCCGGTAATCTCACTCGCACGACGAAACATAAGCGTTGTTTCACGTCGGTTTTATGGGAGGCTGTGGTATTGCTCCGGTCGAACCGGTCTATTCGTGCGGAAGTATCCCTTCATCACTTACATTTGCAAAGTTATAAAAGGTATCAGAGAATTTTAAATGTTGATAATAGCGGTCAGTTTAAACCCAACGAATCAACTCACATTCTTATTTATGTACGGAATTATACATATACACTAGGTAGGTACACAATTTCGACTAAATAAGTAAGTAAAATCTAGTGTTTCGTTGAAATAAAATAAAATGAAATCTAACAAATGTTTGCGAGTTGGACTGCCACTCCCACAGATAACAAACGACTATTGTTTTTATTTTATACCATGCAGCGCCAATATTTGAATTTAGAATTGCGGTTCTTTATATTTGTTTGTGATTGTGAAAAAGCTTTTCTAACTGGCCAGCAGTATAATAAACCGATGCACATATTTTTTGCTTTTATGCAAACTACATATTTATTTGCTACGTATCTGGCTCTATGATGAGTTACTATGGCTCGGAGCCGTTACGAGTTAAAAAAAATATAATTAACTAAAATGGTTTTTCATTTCGGAAATCCGTCGAAAGGAAACCTGTAGGTATAAACGAAAGATAGTGTAAAATAAGACTATGAGTACCAGTACACATATATATTTCACCGGTTATGTAGTTGTGTCTACAGTCTACTGCCTCGACAGTTCAACAAATAACTTCGATGTATCCGGCCGGAACCGGATGTCTGACAATACTTTTAGAACTTTGCCAACTGCCGAGCCGTTGAAGATGAACTTCGCAAAATGTTAATACATGTTTATTATTTTAACGTTCCTTTTTTAATAGTATAAGCCGGTAAACGAGCAGACGGCTCACCTGATGGTAAGCAATCGGCTTCGCCCATAGACACCTGGAATACTAGAGGCGTTGCAAGTGCGTTATCGACCTTTTGGGATTAGGAATTTGACGATTGTTGGGGATTCAGGGATTGTGGAAGGGTAATTGGGCCTCCGGTTTTATCACTGTAAGAAAAATTTGCTGTGTTATAGTTAATTATGGTTTTTTAATTTTTTTTTTAAACGTTGCCCCACACTAGGATTTTCTCCTGTGTCGTGGGTGCGTTTACAAACATACAAGTTCACATACACATGACACCCAGACCCGGAACAACAATTTGTGGATCACACAAAGTGTTGTTCCGTGCGGGAATCGAACCCGCGACACGTTGCACGACAGCCGATTGTCCAGCCACCGCACCAACCGTGCAGTTTATTCAAACAGACTGAACAGATAACGTAGTGGTTGGGTGACCGGTTCCTGCGTTAAGTCGTTTGATTCTCGCGATTCTCGCAAGGAAAACTTCTTTATGTGTTACACAAATTATTTTTCTGGGTCTGGTGATGATATTTGTGATTCTGTGCAAAACCTAAAATCAAATTATTTACCTCACCAGATGGGGTGAAGCCTACACCTGGAGTAACGTGAACTGCTGCGTCCACAACGTGATCGTGGGCAAATTGTGGATCGAGCAGTTTGGAGCCATGGAGGTGACCTGCCATGGCGGCGCTGGTCTGAAGGCCAACCTCGTGTTCAAGCCGGCTGGCTTCAACAACAGGGATCTGCACAGAGTTGACGGGTTCATTGTTGATGCTAAGTAAGTATTTATCTATTATTGTACAAATTACTGATTTTAATGAAATTAA